TTCGAGACGTGTGCAAGATGCGGGTGACCCGAGCAATAACTGCGCCTCAACTTGAGGTCACTTGATCATGGCTGCACAGGAAGCTTTCCAGATCTTGGCATCATGCCTCGTTGCGACTGAGTAAACCAAAGTGTGTAGCAGACACTGGCTCATGCCCCGCAGCGTTCATGTGCTGCTCGGGAAACGAGAGGGGACCTCGACATTGGGTCCATGTAGATGAGTCAGCCCTCGTCGCAGCCTCAACCTGTCGAGAAATCGTGGGAGTCAGCCTTTCAATTCAGCGTCTCAAACCGAGGATCGGGGCCAGTCCGCAAGGCGGCAAGAATGGTCCGCATGTGAGGCCCAGTCCGACAACTTCACATCGGCTTGCCGAGATGCAACGAAGCAGGTATGGGGTCTCCGACCCCATTTCACTGCAGGCAGGATACAGGGGTTCATGTGATGGACGGAACAGTGTAGGACAGTGTGCGAGTTTGTCACAGTCAGAGACCATCGGCAGCACAGGAAGCTGAAGCACATGATCTGGTCTTGAGCGAGCAGCAGACACCCCGGGGCGGACACCCCGAGAGCCCACCATTTTTTGCGATATCGCTGCGCCCAGGATGCGGGATCACCTGGAGACAGTGTTTCCGACAGAAACTGCCGAGGGAATGGACCGACGTCAGGCAGGAAGTTCTGAGCATCTCCTTCCACAGCGGGGCGGCCGTCCATGTCTCGTTGGTGCACAGGGTGTGCTACAGGAGTTGGAGAGAATGTTTCATGCCTTGGCCTCGGCACATGGGCCACACGTGGCACACTCTGCTGGGCTTTGTCCAAGGATTGGATGTCCAAGCTGTGTTCGCAACCTAGACACCTTAGAGGACTTTGAGCCGAAGTGCAAGGTTGAAAAAACTTCGGCAAGCGAGTCTTCACTGAGCCGAGGCCTGGAAGCAAACCTTCCCGAGGAGGAGATCAGAAAGCCACTCTCCACATCTGAACAGCAACTGCCATGCGGCGCCGCAGTGAAAGAGTTGCACGGCGTTTTTTGCCAAGGTCCACCGTCAAGATCACAACATTGGGCTCTTACAGGCTGGCTGAGCATCGAAGTTCCTCGTTGTGTGACCCGACCCATTTCTATTCGTTCTGACACTTGACATTTCCTGGTACAGAAGAGCTGAGTCTGAGTGCATTGTTGCATGGTCGAAGGCTTGGTGTTGTGCATCCTGGCAGCGATATCGACACGTTGTGCATTGCACCGTGCCGGCCTCGAGTTCCCCAAAAGCACACCTCGGCCGACAGCTGTGATGCGAGGCCTGTCATTCGCCGGGAGGATTTCTTCTCAACGTAACTGGGTCCGCACTCTGCGCTGCACCACTTGGCCATAATTCGGTATGGGTCAATGTAGCACGTACTCGTGCCGATTCTACGCCGTTGTCGTGCCCGTGATGGGATGCAGTGATGCTAGGTTTGCCAGCCAGCTGGAGCAGCACGTTCGAGACCGAGATCTTGACCTAGTGAAAGATGTCTCGATGTGCGGACATGTTTTTTTGTGACAGAGGCTGCAGGAATGTAATGTGTGTGGCTGCTCCGTTCAGAAACTTTGTGACTGGTGTACTGTGTTACTGTGTCTTGTCAAGAACAGTTTCAGGGCTTGCTTTTCCTTGGCTTTGGACTTTCTGTATGCATCCTCCCTAGCCCTAATAGCCCGAGTGCATTCCTGCATGCCTAGCACAAGGAAGATGTAACGGAATGCGTGCCGATTCCCGATGCGTGCCCTGCCGGAAGACAGTGCAAGACCTGGCGAGCGCCCTCGTGGCACCAGGTACACTCCGATCGTCAAGCTGAAGATGCGTGGGGTCTGTCGGCGGCCTTTGCCGACTCATCTTGCGATTCTTGTGATTTGGGGTGCTTCCTTTTGTTGTGCTTGCAGAAAGTTGACAGAGGCATCGATCTCCTGTTCGCTCGGCTAGCGCGGGCACCAGAGGCAGAACTAGCAGAAGAGGCGATGCTTTCTTTAACTTTGGTTACCTGGTCCGAAGTTGCAATAATAGTATAGATGTGATCTTTGGACCCCAGGTTGTAAAAGAGGACGAGGTCCTCAAGAATATGGATGAGAAGAGCGTGCCCCGCCCTTCATAAGAATTTTCGAAGCCCAAATTTAAAGCAGACAGACTTTGAGCAGGACATTCGCATGATCCAGGTACGGTGCCTGAACGGATTTCGTGACCCTTGCCTGCACATACCAAACTGTGACTGTGAGGACTGCAGCGCCCAGAGTCTCAACCAATGCGGCGCTGTGAGCAAGTGTGCACATACTGTCACATATTTTTGTCTTAAATTGTTACTAGGATACATGTAAACATAAACAATTGGAGGAGCAAATGCATGAGGAACTAATATCTAATTAAGACACGCCTTCTGGCTCATTATTCATTTGCATATTTAGTCTGCGCACATTATTCAATTTACTTGCAGTTTATTTATGGAGATTTCCATCGGACGGAACCAGTCATGTAGTTCGAGGAGGGCCGTGTCAACGTAATTGCAGGTTTTTCCCCCGGAATCGGAAACCCCGAATCGCCACCGCCAACGCTGCCGAACTGAGGTGGCAGATCAAATCTTGAATCTTGTTCCAGACCAGGAGTGGGATCTGCTAGCCTGATCTGACAACACGAAGTTTGATGTCTGCAGGTGTTGTCGAACCTGTGGCAGGAGACCTTTCGACGGACGCTCCGGTTTATAAAGTGCGGTGTCCATGGGTTTTTATGGTCTGGAGAAGCATGTGACAGAACCTTGATGCCTCAGGTACTGGGCCAGGAGAAGAGGTGTCTACTCGAACATCGTTGGCTTCTTTGGCGGGTGCACTTGGGGGAAAGGGAAATGTATGCTGCAGAGGGAGCTTGCATGGCTTGCTGGAGGATTACATGGTCTCTACTGGTGGCCAGAATCTGTCGCTAGCTCATCTATGAAGCTGGAGGGTTTGCCCCACACGATGGCCGAACCAGAAGCCGATGCTTCTCTTCGAGGCCAGCTCTATCCATATTATGCACCGAACCAGCTCATCAACAGGTGCCAGTTCCTGTGCTTGCCAAAGGGCTGGGTCACCTGGTGGACTTTGAGTTTGCTGCGTGTGCATGTTGCAGCATATTTTGCGGCCCTTTGCACATGCAAGTATTTTGTGCAGGTCGAAAGGTAGAATCTCTTCACATAGATATGCCTATCAAAGCAGGAAACCGCGACGAACCCAGTGGGTGTAAGTGTAGGTTTTTGTCAGGTTGCGGGCATTCGGTGCGTGGCCGTATACAGATCCGCACATCCATGTCTTGCGGCCCCTTGTAGCGCCGGCTTGAAGCCGGCTTCGCCAATGGCGCAGCCACCCTCACCAAGGCGCCTTGGTGAGCCTGCCTGCGCCATTTTGGAGCATGGACTGAGGGCTGAGGGCTCGGAGCGTTTTGTAAAAGCAGCGAGGCATTTCATTCCGACACCACCCGAAGAGCCGCGACAGCATCCGCGACGGCCTGTTCATGCATTCCAGGCTCACCACGTGAGTTACGTAATGCCCATGTTCAGTGTGCAGGTCGGGTCAAGCTCCAAGCAGTCAGAGATAGTCAAGCACCGGCGACCATAATCAGGCTCAAATTCAGGTTCAAACATCGGGGCACAAGGTGGCATGCAATGAGGAGCAACCGCACAGGTCACCCACCCCAGGAGGCACCCCTAAAATGCCTGCCATGTCCCCTGTACAAGTCAGGGCAAGAGCTCCTCGCAGAAGGATGTCAGCCAGTCCAGACCATCGTTGGGGAACCAGACACGAACGGCCCCACCAACGCCGGACGAGTCTTCGGCATCGAGAGAGAAGCGAAGGACAGAGCAAGAAGCAGAGGCCCGGAAGTCCGGAAGTCGCAGATATCCTTTTTGCTCCGTGTTCCTGTTCCCTGAGGTGTCGGATGTGGACCTGAAGAAGATTAATGAGCAATTGGCGAAGCGGAAGCCCTCAATACACGGTGGGCGGAGTTTCTTCAAGTGGTCCTTCCGGTCCGGAAAATCCGAAAAGCCGGATGCGCGTGATAAAATTTAGTAGAAGTTACTTTGCTTAGCGGGTGGAGTGGCCCAACACGGGTGACACATTGCAAGGAAAGGCAAGTGCCTTCTCACTTCTCCGTCGAACTGTCCTCGGATCATGCCCAACAGCTTTGCGAGCTGTGGTGCTGTGTTGTTGAGCTGTGCCCTCGACTTTGAGGCAAAACACAGGAAGTTCCTGCAGCGTCTAGTCTAGCAGACATGGTCCTTGCTGGTCTGCAAGATGTGTCCAGCCAGCTCGGGAGCTGTTTTGTGCAACGTGCATTCATGTTGAAAGCTGACCTGGCCATGGGCCCCACAGGTTCTTCCGCTTGTACCACCAATGGAATTGGACCAGGTACGCCTGCCAGTTTGTATGCTTGAGCATTGCATGAGCATTCAAGGCCCGTGACGCTCTGCGACATCGTTGATCCAGCAGCTGGGCTGATTAACTCCGTCGCCCTAGTTCTGGGCGAGATTTTGGACCGACAGCTGCCGGATCGATAAAGCATCGGAACCGGCCAGGCCAATGTTCCGGGAATGACTTCGTTCAAGGCCCGGGCCCCTCTTCCCGTGTCATTTGTCAGAGGGGGATCTGTGAGGTCTGGAACCCTAAGACCAATCCGGCAGACCGACAACATGCTGCTCGGACATACATCGACCGACAAGAACGAATGCTCTTGGCGCCGCTAAGTACTTGCGATGTGCAGGTGATGCCTGTGATCACGCCCGCATTTCCATCGATGAATTCCACTCACAATGCCAGAGACATGGTGGTTGGCCCATGTCTTCGCGGCGCACAACAGAGTCAGATGCTTCCAAGGTGACCGAGACGACAAAGCGAATCCTGCTGGATGAGTATGGGTCTTCGTTGGCATCAAGAAACCATGCATCCTGTGTCCTGGACCTGCCCTTGACACTTGAGGTTCAAGCGGGGCTTCGAGTTAGTGCAGAACGTCGAAGGCAACAAGGCCGCTGAGCGCCGAGGACTACAGCGTACTGGCACCACATGGCACCACCGAGCCCAGTCTAGGACCTCAGACCTCCACGCCCATCCCCGAAGCCAAGCCCAATCCCAAACACAACAAACACTAAGAATCCAATCCAAGCCAGTCCCTGAATCCCGAACCAACATTGCCAGGCAGAGTGGAGCGACGTTTGTGGCTGAGTGGATGCGAGTTCTGTCATTATGAACAGCTCCTACACCGGATCTCCGTGCCCTCATTCATAGAAGGAACGCGGCGTTGTCGTTTTGCGAAGCTCGCTTGTTTCGGGCATAGCGCCGGACTCCCTGAACCCCTCCCGTCGTTAACGTTGTTGGGTCTTCCCTTACGCATCTCCCCATTCCCAGATCTATTCGTCATCTGGCAGGCAGTCGCAGGGCTTCGCTTCCGTGGGCAGGGTATCGAGTGAAAATCGAATCGGGACAAACAGACCAAAGCGCGATCGGGCATTCTAACATGAAGAGAAGATTTCTGCCTGGGCACCGTGACAGATACGAAAGCTTACGAAAGCTTCAGAACTCGGAACGCATCGCAAGCAGCGGGAGCCTTCCGCAAGTCGCAGACAATCTAGATGCCGACTGTCTGCGATCTTCAGGCGAGATTTTGTCGAGGCCTTCTCGAAACAGACTTTTCCAGCACACACACTTTATTTTGGAAGCCAGAACTCCGGTGTGGCGGCGTATGTGCTCTGGTGGCATCTTCGAGAAGTGCTTGCTAGCTAGCTTCGCAGTGACGACTTCCTAAGGTTTATGCCCCATTTCCCTTTTTCGACGAGTTTAAGCACTTCCTCATGATCGAGGCAAGCTCTGCATCACGCAGTGTTACGTCTCGCCAGTGACGGGTTTTACACCCCGCCTCAGATCCTGGCAACGTCTGAAGATGTGTACAACAAGCGATGGCCCCTGCGTCCCTGTCTGCCCCAGCCTTCCTTCAAGATGTTCTCATGAAGCTCCGGCTTCCCAGGTTCAGTGGTTGGGTGGAAAGCAAGCTTCGGATTCTCGTCATGCAGTTGGAAGCGGTCTGATGCCCAGTTACCTTCCTCCCCATGCTGCCTTGCCGGAGCCCAACTTGCTGACACTGACAGGTCAATGGGATGCGAATTCATCCAAATCCCCTACAGTCCACCCCTCGGCATACATTCACAGCTTCTCATGCAGCATCCAACATGTCCGTCCAGGTACACTCTGCCCAAAGACGGCGATGCCAATTGGCCATTTGGGTTGGGCACCTCTGTTCGGGCCACAGACGGCATATCGTCTGCTATGTTCGGAGCAGGTGCGGCATGTTCTTGGGATTGATCTTTACACCGGAAGCTGGAGCGCTCATCCCTCAGATGTGTGAGGTTTCGTGCAACAAGGTAAGTAAAAAGCCTGCCTCAAGGCAGCCCGACCTGCAGATCGACCTGCGTCCTGCAATCACAGCTTTCATGGAGGCCGCTGGCCTTCCTACGCCGTTATCCGCTTCGTTCATGCCTGGAGTCATCGCAGAAGGTCATTCTGTCCTGGGCCGACCGAGTGCAGATCTCAGAGCTTGGCAGCCGCGCTTTAGATGCATGTCCAGCAAGGTGCAGTAGGTCATGTCATATCGTGATGCTGTTTGCTCAGATCCCTGTGTAGCAGTCAGGATGCCAATGTGGGTCAGTTCCGGATGCGGTTAAAGCGATTGGCTGCGCCCAGCTCTGAGGAAACAAACTCGGCTTGTCATGGTAGGCCTGGAGTCGGACTGCCAGGGCAGACCTGCCGGATTATGTAACGGATGTGGCGGGAGCCCTGGATTTTTGCCGGAGCCGAAAAGAGGCCAAAAGCTCAAGGAAGCGGGGTCAACTAAGGTGCAGAAGCTACCTCATTCCTGAACCTGTATAGCCTGTATGGATTGTTTTGCACTGAGGGCGACGGGCGAAAGCGTGCCGTCGGCGCTTCCAGTGACACTTGACTGCATGCGGGTGTGTTCGCGACGGGGTCGAGTCCCAGATCAGGGTGCTTTCAAACTGCTCTGTCTACGTAAGGCTCCACATGACAGGATTCCAAAGAGATTCAAGGCGACGGCCAACGGTGTATGACTGGTCCAAAGCGACTCGCTACGAAGACTCGTGGGGTTTGCCACGTGATACTTCCCTCCGACTTCTGACGAGGCTGGTGGAGAAAAACTTGCCCGCAGACATGTTGCATGTAACAGATGTCGTTGTGTATCCGATCTGCACGAATCTGCGCAAAGGTCGAACCACTCGTCAATTACGGGGCCATATCAATACATGTTTAGCCGTTGGGCCGGACGATCTTGCCAAGCCAAGTCTGGAGTCACAACGTAACCTAGTTGTGCTGTGCACTTCCTGTCTGATTGCAAAGCGAGACACCTGGTCCACCTCCAACCGACTATGCACCGAGAACCTCGGCTAGCTGCAATCACAGCCGATGCTTTGACACCCAGCTCCCCACGACATCAGCACATCACTCGAGTATCCCCTTCCCAACAAATTCCTTTCCAGCTCTCCCTCCGATCTCCGCCTTGATTGGGATTAGTGAACCACAGCACGAGCATCATCATCACCAGCCGGATTTCCTTTCAAGCTC